ATCTCCCATGCCCAGTTCAAGGAGGTCCCAGTGGAACTAGATGAGAATTCTAATCTGGAATCTGTGCCTCACTGTCTGTTAAATAGAAGGGCAGTGTGAGGAGTTGGCTAAAGTCTTTGGATTTTCTGAGATTCCATGACCCGCATAAAGAAAAGAAGGCAGGCAGGAGGGCATCAGTCCTGGGAAGCTGGAGATGATATTCAAGGTCCTGATCTTCACCTACTGGTGAAAAAAGAGGGTGGCAGGGGACAGTAGTTGAGGCAAATGCACCGCTGCATACAGGAAGTAGAAAGCCTCTCGCCACCAGTCCTGGGGCTGGGTGTGATGTCTGAAAGCCACTTGGAAATGAGGCGTCCTTGCAGAGACCTGAGAGACTGAACACACAAGTGGCCAATGGCCAAACTAGAAATACAAATAGAACTCGAACTGAGAACCTGCCGCAGCCAGTCCATGAGGCCAACCTTCTGGCAATAGCAACCAATCCAGAAAGCCAAAAAGTAACCCCTGTAGTAGTGGACCCCCAAACAGCCAGAACTTAATTAATAGCTGACAGCTTCCCTAATTTCTACATCAGCTTCCAATTTAGGACCCACAGGAGAGAGCCAAATATGCACCCCTATGCAATTACTGCTACATAGAACGCCGCTTCTAGTTAGCTGCTAGTTTCCCCGTGACAGTGGCTGGACTCCTTCCCTTTTCTCCACTATGAAGCTCCCTGCCTTTGAGTCTTTGCCTGGTGCAAGTGACAGTGGCTGACTCCCTCGGGAGAGCAAGCTCAGAATAAATAGCTGTTGCTCGTTCTCATTAGGGTAGTCTTCATTCATATTCACAGACTAGAAAAGCCTCCCTGAATCTCTGGGTATTCCATTTATTTCCTTTCAGTGTTATTTTCCTTTTCTTAGAACATCGGAGAGTGTTATACAACATCTACAAACATCGACCGGGATTGGGCACGTTTGTACTGGAAAGAGCACTGTTTTAATGAGGTGAGAGACGGCGTCTGGATTCCCAGTAACTGTCACTGGTGCTGTGACAGCCAGCAAATCCTTTAGCCTTCTCCGATTTGCATTCTCTTACCTGTAAAATGGGACTAAACATTGTTGTCTGCTTACATGCTAGAACCAGACCCCATGCTCCTTGGGGTTCACATCTCGTGGTGGTGCACCTCTCAGCGTTGTTTCACTAATCGCAGGCAAATCAAAACAAATCCAGTCCAAGATAGGTAGGGACTTTATTTGAAAAGACTATTTCAGTAGCAGGAGAAGACTATTGTAATAGGGAAAGCATGGCGACCACAACATCTGCCAGACTCTCAAAAGAGACCTCAGACATTTGTGGTCGCCAACGGCTGCTCCATATTCCAGCGCAGGTTTAAGGTGGGACAAAGTTTGGGGGCTTATGGGGAGGGGAGAAGCGGAACTAAAGTTTGGTCAAGTCACATTAGCAGGCATTTTGTCCAGATGGTCAATGGGGACAACTTTGGTAATCACTGATGAGCTAAAACTGGGAGGGTCTGCGGCTGGCCTTGTCCTAGGTAAACAAGGGGGCGTCCACGAGTCTTATCTCAGTCACACAGGAAGAGTGGTTCTTTGCAGTAAGCTGCAAAGGGAAGGAGGATTTTCTGAGTGCAGTTTTCTAGGACACAGGGCTCAGGCAAAGTGTAACACTGTCGTCCATCTATGGATGAATAGATAAACAGGGAAGCATCGAGTAAAACAAAAAAACTATCTGTAGATAACAAAAAAAAATGGCTGTGGTTAACTTAATAACAATAATTTTCAAAAGTGAAAGATCTAATGAGTTCATTACAAAAATAAGGCAATTGATAATGAATTTGGTTGTTTCTGTGGCATGTAAAACAAAATAGAGTGAATTTAAAACCAAAGTGACAATAGAAAATTTTAAAAGAAAACATAGGATGTAACAGGATTATGAAGAATCTCAGTTCTTTCAAGAGTGAGAAGATTTTGTTCCTTTTAGTAATTAAGGATGTGAAAAGTCAACATAAAGCACAGAAAATTATTCTAATAAGATAAAATGTTTGCCTTTTAGGCAGAAAGAAGGTAAAGAAAAACCTTTATAACCTCTTAAGAAGTATTCAATAACCTCTTAGAAGTATATTTTTTTTTAGTTTAAGAAAATTTTGTCATTTAACAGAGAGAAAACCAAATTTTAGTTTTGCATCAGCATAATATTTGATACTAAATCTCTTTTTCAAACTCTTGGCCTCAAGCAGTCCTCCTGCCTCAGCCTCCCAAGGTGCTAGGATTACAGGCGTGAGCCACCACGCCCAGCCAGATTCTAAATCTCTTTTTAAGAAAATCTTGTAAATCTTCTAAACCTTAGCCAACTTTGACTAAAACAAATAAAATTACCTTTCTGTGCACCTTCTACAACTTTCTATATCCTTTCAAATTTTGCACTACATGTTCTTCTTCCTCTTTCTGGAACAACCAGTCATTTTACTTTAGGACAACATTACTTTCCTTTCTCTTAACAAAAACACATCTTGAATATCTTGCATATAAAGTCATTTTTTCTACAATTATTTTTCCTAAAGAGTCTCATTCACATATATCGATCATAAATTTTAGCGACAGTAATTTCTATTTTGCAGAGATAACAGGTGGATATTTGTGAACTGTCATATACCATAATTTTGTAGCAGAACTTATGAATATACACCTCACAACTATAGCCATATACATCCTTATAGTACAACTTCTCAATGTGGTAAAATATATAGATCCTTAAAGTTATGCTTAGTTATTAATATTTCAGTAGTTTATTTTACTGGAAATTATCTAGGTATTTAATGAATATCCATTAATAACTTAATATAGCATAAGTTTTAAATTACTAAAAGAGCTCAAGCTGACATACTACAAAACATAATTACCGTTGAAATAAAGTTTACCAGAATAATGATTAATTTGGTTAAACAAAAGACTCCAGTTTTCATCATCTTAAATATCTGGGAAATGTACTGCCAATTTAATCAATTAGTAAACCTGAGTACAGAAAGAACATACCCAAATAGAATACAAATGTATGGTTGTATTACACTTAATTTGGATAGCTCAGAATACAGCTCTTTTTATTAAATAACAGTATTAAACTTGTCTTATTTTTTAAAGAGTTACCTAAATTTTATGAACTTGAATTATTAAAGCATTTGGGTTAGTTTTTATAAGAATATTTTTTTAAGCATTAGAAGTTCAATTTTACCACAAATAGAATGGCTTAAAACAACAGAAATGTATTATCTCAGTTCTGGAGACTAGAAGTCCAACATCAAGGTGTCAGCAGGGCCATCCCCTCTCTGAAGGCCCTGGGGGAAGATCCTGCCCTGCCCTGCCTTTCCCTAGCTTCTGGTGGTTGCCTGCAGTCCTTGGTGTTCCTTGGCTTGTGGACACATCACTCCAATATCTATTTCCTTTGTCACATGGAGTCCTCCCTCTGTGTCTCTCTGTGTCCGAATTTACCTTTCCTTATAAGGACTCGGGTCACTGGAGTAGCGCCCACTCTAATCCAGCATGACCTCATCTTGGCTTGATTACATCAGCAAGGCCCTATGTCCATGGAAGATCACATTCACAGCTACCGAGGATTAGGACTTGAACATATCTTTTGGGGAGGACACAATTCAACCCACAACAGCTTATAAATAAGCGGTGGGCCTAGGGTTCTGCATACTCCCCACTCATTTGCAGAATGGGGTGTTCATGCCCCAGGATTCAATAAAGATGACACCCTGAAAGTAAAGGAAGATTAGAATATCTGTTTTATTTTAAAATGTCCTCTTTTTAAAATGTCTATTTGTGTTTTACGGTGTAAATGATATATTTACAATAGTACATGAATATGTTCTATAAATAAATACATATTTGGTGCACACTGGAAATTTTTAAACTAATGTCGAGGAAAAAAAAAGTTGGAGGCCCTTTACCTAGTCTACTCCTTCTCACCCATCTATTTAACTGGTGGTCACTGGTTTGTTAGTTTCTCTTTTTAACAGTTGCCTCAGCATAATAATGCTGTACTTGCTGTTTGAGGGTTGTAGTGTTTAGACTGACAGAGCCCAGGTTTCATGTAATTTAACTCAAAAGACATGTTGTTCATAGTCTAAACCAGGCGTCCTCAAACTATGGCCCGAGAGTCACATGCGGGTATTTTTGCTCGTTTGTTTTTTTACTTCAAAATAAGATATGTGCAGTGTGCATAGGAATTTGTTCATAGTTTTGTTAAACTGTAGTCTGGCCCTCCAGCGGTCTGAGGGACAGTGAACTGGCCCCCTGTTTAAAAAGTTTGAGGACCCCTGACAATTTGATGTCAGTTATGGTGGGCAGGGGAGGCACAGGCTTGGAATTTTTTTGAAATGGAACTTTTCAAACCGGAAGAGCCACTAAAAACCAGGAGCCAGGTCATGATTATACCTGCCTTCTTAGTTACTACATTAGTTCTACAGGCTTCCTTTTATCCATGATACAAGCCCAAGATCCACCCCTCAATCCTCACATATACCTATCTTTTTTCCAGGAATTGTTTTAGGATTCTTAAGGGAGGGAAGCTGACATGCTCATAGGTGAACAAATTTCAAAAAATTGGTAGTGTACATTTGAAAATTCATTGGTTGATATACTTTAAGAACAGGGAGGAGTCAATGTAAATAAGGTAAAGTGTGTAAATTTGAAAAGATATTCAGATGTCCATGAGAAGAATTGTTCAAAAGAGTAAAGGATAGTATAACATTAAATAAATTATGGCTTTCTTCGACATTAAGGACATTTTTGCTGGTTGTTAAACTCTTTGAACACTTGGCACGAGAGTCTACTGATTGTGTAGGAACTAATCACCTTCTCACGGGTTATTTAAACTCCTATGTGGGTATAAATATATTTTTGTTATAACTTATTCCACCTGTGTCTGTCAATTTCTTTCCACTTGCCTCCTCCCATGGCATTCTGGCTCATGTTTCTCCATAAAGCTCTAAGCCAGTTATTAATAACAGACCAGTGAGCCTCCTGATCCAACAAGAGCATATGGTGTTTTTCACAAAAGAGGGAGAGACCATTCCCTTGACTTTGGACTTCGCTTATTGAACCTCTGAACAGTAAGTGTTGTTTTATTTATTTATTTTTTAATGTAACATTTTAAAATGTTGATGTAGGAGGACAGTTTAGTGTGACTTTTGTTTGCATCTTGTAGAGGGAGAATATAGTAGGTTAAAACTCACTAAGACTCACAAAGCCTGTTTCCTATTCTCTGCATTTCAACACCTCTCCAATTTTTACAAGGCTGACTGTAAGAGAGATTAATGAATTAGGTTTCTACTCCTTTCACTTCCTTTTGGCTAAGTAAAGGCAGGAGGAGAAGCAAAGGATTAATAATATATAAACTATTTAACCAAACCCTGTAGCCATGGCTTGATACTCCCACCTCCTCGTGTTTCCTCTCCTATTAGAATTCCAGTGATTTCAAAGAGAATTTTTGCATGTGGGAATTATGTGCAGGAGGGACAGGATACCCAGGCCCTTGTTTGTTTGTTTATTTGTTTGCTTTCCCATGTTCCAGGTTTGGATCAGAGAGGGCACCCTTCTTGTTCCATGGATCCGTTGCTTCCTTGTTCTTTAGCCAAAGGCTTTGTCTTTGCAGCCTTCTTTATAATGGTTGCCTCTGAAAGTCCTGCAAAGTAGGTCACTATGTTTTCTGTCTGGAAAAGGAGGACCCTGAAGCCCAGAAAGGCATATGCCCTGCTCGGTCCTAGTGAGCAGAGCTGAAACCTGACACTGCGGTCCCTCTCCAGGACCGTAGACTAATACGGCGTTCTGCTGGGATTACATATGTCCGATTCCTGAGCATATGCCCCAGGCTCCTAAATACAATGTGTAAGAGAGGCATTACCGTGAGTTGGAAGGAAGCAGATGGGGACCTGGTGTTGAGCCCTGGCTTGGACCATGTACAGGTTGTGTTCCCTGGAGCGAGCACCCAACCACTCAGAGCTGAGGGCTCGTTTGTGAAATGAGAATCATAACCTGTTTTACAGGGTGGTGGGGTTTACTTATAATGTGTATAAGTTAATGTAACATTATTTATAAATCCCATCTTCCAGTTTTTCCTGAATCTTCCTAATCATCACTTATTTGTCTCTAACTCAAATCCACAGCCTCCAAATGCAGTCTTTCATGGGAAAAATTAAACCACAGAGACAACATTGGACTTTAATAACTGGATTAAAATCCAACATTGGATTTTAATAACTTTATTTTTTGGATGGTGTAAACTGTGGGAATGCTGAGGAAGGGTGGATTGGAGGATGGTATATTGTTTGCGATTCAGGACATTGAGGCTACGGCTAAGGTCAATGATGATGAAGAACTTCCAAAACCAATTTCAAAACATAGCCTATTATTATCCATAAACTTACCTGCTCTGTTATAATCAGTCTTATAAAATCTTTCTTTTCGTTACATGCTTCAGTGTTTCTGCAGGACTGGTTTTCCATGCTTGCTACATTAGATTCCGTTCTGTGTCTAGATAAGACAGAGGGGAGAGCTGTCTCAATAACTGCTTTCCACAGTGGTACCCTGTAACTCAGGAGATAGGATGAGATTTTTGTTTTCCTCTTAGAAGCTTTTGTTCTGCACACGTGCATTTAATTCCTACTGCGTGCAAAACACAGCAAGACCCCTTAGCAAGGGGTCTATAAGCTCTTACTGCAGTAGGAGAAGGAAGTCATTTCGTGGAATGAAATGACTCTGAGGAAAGTCAGGATGGGCTTGCTCATGATTCTGTTCTTTCCAGGGCTCCCCCTTGTGTACCACCATCTAAGCAATGACCTTGTGACACATAGAAGAACAATGCCTTAAAGTCACACCTCATCCTCCTACCCCCACCCCGAAAATTATTGAGCACCTAAATGCTGAAGATATCATTTCTGCTCTAACAATGGTTAAAGTCTTTCATTTAAACTTGAAACTCTGTTCTCCAGCCTAGCCAGCCATCTATTTTCTCTGCTAAACTTGACTCCGAATAACATTCAGTTGGTTTCAGAGATCAAATCTCTATCTAAAAACATAAAAGATTGCAACCAGTGAATTTAAGGAGAAGAGTGTGTGTCACAGGCAGTTTAAACGGTTTTGCCAAAAGTTTGTGAGAATTCAAACAAGTCCAGAGATTCTCCACTCCCTTTTTCAATCCCCATCCCCAAATGGGGAATGGCGCTTATTTGGATATCTGAGCTCTGCAGATAAAAAAAATACAAACCTCACCAGCAAAGCCCCTCAGTCCTTTTCTTGCTTCTGCACCCCACTCACGGATGAGTATGAGTGGCAGCATTGTGCTGGGGCTCCCTGGGGGAACCTTACATGGCTGGTCCCCAGCCAGCGATCTGGGCACTTCTGGCCTTGTAAGAGAGTGTGAATTGCAGCTGTGATTCATGGAACAGGCTGGGAAACTTGGGAAGGAGAAGGTTAATAACATTTTGATCATCTTGGTTCTAGAATATTTCTTAATGTTAAATGCCCTTAACAGAGTAATTTATATCTTCTTAGGGGCAATGCACGATCTATTAAGGGCAGGAACGTGGCAGCTGGAAATCTTAGCCTTCACAAGTCCTGGTAGTAGATAATTAAGAGAACGAGTGTGTTCGTGTGTAGAAAAATTGTTCATTTTAGGGCCAGATTATTTACTTCAAATATTTCAGGTATGGCCATCAATGACTTGGAAAAGCCAATACTGAACAGGTGTTGACATAGGATAAACAAAGCATGAGAAGTACGAAGAGAGGCTTCTGGAACCCCCTTCCCCCTATCCCCCGGGGCCTATGGGTGATCAGGCGGACTTTCAGGCAAGGCAACATCCTGCTGCCCACGTGTCATGTGTCTGCCTCAACTTCTCACAACTTCCCAGGGCTTTCCTTCTCTCTCTCTCTTTAATTTTAGGGACAAAGTCTTGCCTCAGGCTGGAGTGCAGTGTGACCTTATCATAGCTCACTGTAACCTTGAGCTCCTGAGTTCAAGTGATCCTCCTGCCACAGACCTAGAGTAGCTACGTCTGCAGGCATGCGCCACCATGCCCAGCCAATTTTTAATTTTTTTTGTAGAGACAAGGTCTTGCTATGTTGCCCAGGTTGGTCTTGAACTCCTGGCTTCAAGAAATCCTCCCACCTCAGCCTCCCCAAATGCTAGGATTACAGGTATGAGCCATGATGCCTGGCCAATTTCCCTCTCTTAAGGGCCATTTGTCTCCTCTCATCTATCTTGGCCACTCCATCCCTCTTCACCACGATTGCGCTGCAGGAATCAGCCGTTCTTCTGAATCTCTGCTTCATCTAGCTGACCACTATTTATTGAGGGTCAGGCAGCATGCCAGGCTTTTGGCTTATTTTTTTAACCAATTCTACAATATTACTGTAGATAAGAGTATGAGTTTTGGAGCCAAAATGATGTCTCATCTCTACAAATCCTTGGTCACCTCTTGCTAAGTGTGTGACCATGGACAGCTCACTCAACTTCTCTGTGCTTCAGTCTCTCCAACTAAGGAAACAGCGGTACTAATATCCCACCTCATAAAGTTGGATGAGATTAAAATCCAAGTGTGTGTAGTATGCACATTAGTTATGAATAGAAGTCCTTTCAAACCCTCACATGACAGATATGATCTTCTCTGTTCCCCAGGTTAGGTAGCATCTGAGGTTAGACGCCTTGTCCAAGGCTGCAGAGTTAATACCGACCAGAGCCAAGATCTACAACCAGTTCCACCTGATGCAAATCCTACACCCTCTCCTCACCCCACCTTGCTGACTGTCCATCTGCGGCAAAACACACTTTTGTTTTCATTCGAAGTACACTTTGTCGAGTTCTTTGCCTTGTGACGGCGACCTGCCAAACTTTCCAGTTTTCACTTGTGATTTACTTTAATCTGTACTCTCTGGTCTTCACATTGGCCTGAATCATAGATGTTGGAAAGTGATGAAGGCAGAATCTCTCTCCACAGAGCCAAGTCTGGTGAAACACAGAATCCAATTTATCAGAAGTGTCAGAAAATTGCTGAGGCAAGGATGGTACTCGCTCTGGAAAAAAAGTAACTGTGTGACATCAGATCAGTCTCTCTACTTCTCTGGGCCTTGTTTGTCAAATGAGAAGTTTACAAAAGCTTGAATGTCTTTTCCAGGGCCAATATTTCTTTACTACTTCAAACCTTTCACTACTGTTGTTTTTCTTTGCTGAAAAGGGAAAAACTGCCTTGAAATTATGTCTTAATCAGGAAATAAGGTACAACAATCATGGCTGCAATCATTGAAATGTAAAGTCAAAGGCCATTTTTTAAAAAATTCTCATCTTTCTCTTGTACAAGACTTACGTCATTGATAAGTTAATTTCTCAGATATGTGTTAAATTCCCTTTCTCATATAATCCAATTTTGGGCAGAATCTAATCAGACCTTAATTAGTTCAGAAAATGCAACTTAAATTCAAATTTTAGAAACTTACAGAACACATAAAATTCATTTACCATTGACTAGGGCTGAGTTTTCAGTGAACTCCCGAGTGACTCAAATTTGAGGAGTTTAGTGAGGGCAAATCTCTGTTTTGCTGTAGAAAGAGTAGCCATCCCAACCAGATGCTCCTATCCTCAAAACCCTGTAAGTCCTATGCCAAAATTTTGTTGCCTTCCAACAACTTGACTTGGTTCCCTAATTACAAGCAAAAAGCAAAAACAAAAGGAAAAGCATCAACAAGACATCATTCTCATATGATTTCTCAAGTTTCTAAAAGACAAGTTGATTGAACATCAACTTTCTGGGAAATGGAGACTTTTGCCACATGGAGACAAGTTGGGAACACCCAAGTTTGTGATTTTATTTATTTTTTATTTATTTATTTATTTATTTTTTTTGAGACAGAGTCTCGCTTTGTTGCCCAGGCTAGGGTTGAGTGCTGTAGCATCAGCCTAGCTCACAGCAACCTCAAATTCCTGGGCTCAAGCAATCCTACTGCCTCAGCCCCCTGAGTAGCTGGGACTACAGGCATGCGCCACCATGCCTGGCTCATTTTTTCTATATATATGTTAGTTGGCCAATTAATTTCTTTCTATTTAGTAGAAAGTAGTA